TGAACCAAACACAATGTAACTCCAAACTATGTCGTCTGCAACTTCACGGAACCGAACAACACAACCAAAATCACCAAACGAAAATCCCACCAGACCTAACTTCAACCTCTACAAGAGATGCTTCAGAAAGAAATTCGAAGGGAATGAAGAAAATCCAGGGAAAACGAAGAACAAACCCTAGAAAGTGATCCAGATTTGATCAAAAAAACTTAAGAGTGTTGTTTAAACACTCAGATCTGAAATTATCACGGCTGTTATTAGGTTCCAAGCTCAGTTTCACTAAAGAGGAGACCCTCTAGATGAAAAAGAGAGTTCTAAACCCGAGAGGGGAAATTTTGCCATACAAAAAGGCATTGGTTCTATATGCCTAAAATTTTGTAATAATTTGTTAGATCATTGATTTTTTTAGTTTTTCTAAAAAAAAAAAAGAAAAGCTGGTATTTACGTTTTGGTGGCCGAGTAGGCAAGCACGACTCAACTCTTTGAGAGATATTAAACTTTTTATCCGAGCTGAGTTCTCTCCGCCGGATCCCACCATGAATCCTTCAGTTTCTATCTTCTCTATCGCACTGATCGCTTTCCTCTGCCTCCATCACCGTGTTCACGGATCTTCCCACTTCGAAGGTTTTGATGCTGAAGACGACGATGTTTTTGACGATTCCACTGAGCTTCACCACTCGCTTCGTCCACCTCTTGTGACTCAGTCTGAGTCAACGACTCTAGATCTGGAGCCACCGTCCGAATCCGATTATACCCCGACATCTAAATCGGACCCTCCGAGCCAGACCGCTTCCAAGAAGCCCTCCTCTATCTCGTTCGATTTCTGGGATGAAGATGAGTTCGAGGGATTGCCGGAGGACGATAAGACGACGGATTCTCCAGTCATCTCCGAAAACACCTCTCCTGCCGATCCACAGACGCCAGATCCGGAGTCTGCCTCAGATGCCCTAGACAGTGCCATTCCGAAGAAGAAGCCATCGTACACGGTGGAGATCGTCTGCGTCTCAATCTTGATTGCTTACGCAATCAACTACTTCACTGGAAAACGTGAGAACGAAAACTTGGCTTTGACTTGGGCATCGAAATTCGGTCTCAAAGACACGATATTTGAGAAAAACTTCAGTTTGCTGGGAGTTGGAGAAGGAGAGGACTCGCCGTTGTTGCTGAAAGAAGCTACGAACGTGTTTAAGTTCTACGCAAGTGGGCGTAGGTATTGCCATGGGCTGTTGGCAACCATGGAGCTCAAGAGCAGACACGATCTGATCTCAAGGCTCTTTAACTCGGTGGTCCCTTGTAAAGATGAGATCAGTTTCGAGGTATACATGAACGACGATGCTATGGACCACATCGTGTTTGCGATGGCGAGGAAGAAGGCAGCCAAAACCATGCTCAAGGAGCTGAGAGATCTGCAGAGATTCGGAGGACTTGTGCCGGTTCCCTTCGGGAGGAAATGGGTATCTGAGGAGTTAGCTGTCATCTCCGAGTCCAAGGAGGTAGCTGGGGATATGATCACAGAGGTTGTACTTGATCAGGTCAGACGCTCAATCTCTTGGCTTCTCTCCTTGTTTGATCATAGCACTAGTCTGGCCTAATCTGATTAATAACATAGTTTCTTTTTGGACTTGGTGAAACTTCATATCAAGTTTTGAGAGAGTTAACTGGTTTTGCCCTCATTGGTGACTTAGTCACCTAACCGCTCTGCCTATTGTGCTGTGCTTGTGATTATGAAAGGACATAGATTTTCAATTCTCATGTTAAATAAGGAAAATGAGCTATTCTTACACCAAAGGGACGGCCTTAATCAGTGTAAGAACTTCAGTGATCAGTTCCCTTCGCCAATAAACATACCAGATTCTTTTTTTTTGGTGCGATTCCAATCTGCCTTCTCTCTCTCTCTCTCAAACTGTACAGAAATGTAGGGTAAAGACTTGTGATGTACTGAAAAATTTCCTTAGGTTCCTTTCGTTATGATATATTTAGGCCCAACGGTTTCTTGAATGAAGCTCGCTACCTGAGTTCAGAATGTGATAAGGATGAAGTGCTTTTAGTGTGTACTATGTTCGTCTCTCTTGCATTAAAAGTTTCAATAGGCATTTGATCATTTTGATGTTTGATCATCAAAGAGTAGCATGCATTCATGATAGATAACCAATGCTGTTGATTTCGTATGGCTGAGTGTGTCATTGTCATATATCAGAATATATATCCCAGTTTTATAGGTCAATAGACATATTGGTGCATGTTTATCGTCCATGCCACTCGGGCTATATATGTCCTCTTCTGTGGACATGGAAAATGGATATCATTTTCCATGGACTTAAGATTGTTCAACTTCCTCAAATTATCTGTTGTACTAATCAAATTTTTAAGCTGCAATTGGGCTCTGTAGGTTTTTGGTGACAAGTCTTTTGAAAAGTTTGGGAAGAATTTCTTGTCATTGCATTTTTCGGACCAGCATCCTGGGAAACACAGGAAGATGCTGCTTTTCAAGTTTGCCCTACCTGATGCTAAACATATGGATGATATGGTTCGGTTGGTAGCGCTAATTCCGTATTACATTGACTTAGTTGGACGCTACAGGCTCAGCTCACAGGTATAGGGGCAAAAGCTTATCATCACTTGCCATTTTATCTCTATGTGTGACATGTTGAACAAAACAAAATCTGTGGATGCAGGCACGGAACAAAACTGAGGGTGCTAGGCAAAAGGCGGCGCATGAAGCGTACAAGGAACTTGAGAATGTGAGGCAAGAGGCATTGCTGAGAAAGAAAGCCGAAAGGAAGAAAATACTAGAGGAGGCGGAGGCAAAGCTTAGCGCTGAGGCTCTAAGGAAGAAAGAGGCCAAAGAACGTGCTCGGCAGATGAAAAAGTCAATGCCAAAAGTTAAGATGAGTCGTGGTCACTAGACTCAAGCATAGGGGACATCTCTTTGATTCCTACGCCCTTTATAGTTCGTTGGATTAGATCTTTTTGTTATTTTCACCTTTCTTTCATGAATCTCTTACTTGGAGTTTATTATTACCTCATTACGATTTCTCTTATAGTTGCACCGAGGCAGTACTTATGATAATCCTCGGGACCTCTTTGAGTTATATTAGTTGAGTTTTGAAATTGTGAGCGAGAGAAAATCTCAATAAGTTTATACTTAATCTGGAGCATAAGAAGTATCAAATGCTAAAGAGGTTACAAGTGAAATATGAATGGGCTTATGGGCAGAAGTGAGGTCCTCAATGGTTAAACACATGAAGAAGGTGGAAACTTTGTTGGGAGCTGTAATGGCGAGCAAGTTTGGGAGACAGAGACGCAGCTTCGTGAATGCGAGGGTGAAATGGGTCGGCGATCCGTACCTGGACGAAGTTGTGGAGCGAGAGAAAAACCTGAAGCAAGTTTTGTCTCTTAAAGATCGGATCGTATCGTCTCCTTCCAAATCACTGCCTCTCTCTTCCCTCTCCCTCCTCAAGCCACTCGTCAACCTCCCATTAACCGCCGCGGCGTTTTGCCAGAAATACCCTCGCGTGTTCGCCACTTTTCAGCCTTCCCCTCGTCTCCCTCTCCACATTCGCCTCACTCCGCAAGCCCTCAGCCTCCACACCGAAGAAGAGACTATTCACCTATCTCCGCCTCACCGGAATGCCACAGTTCAACGCTTGGCCAAATTCTTGTTGCTTACCCGAGCCCAATGTCTCCCTCTTTATCTCCTCGACCGTTTCAGGCTCGATCTAGGTCTCCCTCACGATTACATTACTTCGCTCATCCCTGATTTCCCTGATTACTTTCAAGTCACGGAGATCAAGGATCGCTTCACGGGTGACAAGATGCTTGCCTTGGCGCTTTCTTCTTGGTCGAATGCCCTTGCTGTCTCCGAATTGGAGAGAAGAGAAGCCATCATTGACGGGTCTCGCGTGCGCATAAGGTATTCGATGAATTTCCCCAAAGGGTATGAATTGCAGAAAAGGGTGAAGAATTGGGTGGACCAATGGCAGAATCTTCCCTACATCTCACCTTATGAAAACGCTTTTCACTTGGCTCCCAGCAGCGATCAGGCTGAGAAGTGGGCAGTTGCAGTACTCCATGAGCTTATGTGCCTCTTAGTGTGCAAGAAGACTGAGACAGACAATGTGCTTTGCTTGGGGGACTATTTAGGGTTCGGGATAAGGTTCAAGAAGGCTTTGGTGCACCACCCGGGCATATTCTACATGTCACACAAGATTCGCACCCAGACTCTTGTGTTAAGGGAAGCCTACCACAAAACTTTCTTGCTAGAGAGGCATCCGTTGATGGGGATGAGACATAGATACATTTACCTCATGAGCAAATCAGAGACCCTAAAGAAACGAAACTCTGTTCACGACGCAACCAAAATACCAGAGAGCAATCAAAGCTTGTGAAGATGGTACAATGAAATGCACACAATCACAAAGGATAGCCGTAGCCGGGAATTTCATGATGTAGAGTGAATGAGTAACTGGTTGATCGAGGTCAGCTGAATTGACTTTCTTAGTGTACTATGGTATCAATCCTTTGCTGATTTGGTAAAGTTGGGCAAGATTCTTGTTTGGGTCCTGAATTAGCTTCTTGTAGACTCAGCTGGGGCTATTACTCTCCCATATGCGTTAAGCGTCATTTTTCTACTTTCAAAATTAGTGTCAATTAATCAGTTTTATGGCATAAAATGCAGAGTATTAATCAGGAGCAACGCCGTCCTCTGCATCTAGAGAGATCTAGATGGCAACGTCCTGACGTCAGCGTCTGTGACATGGCACACTTAGTTGTCGAGTGCTGTCTCTTCAGCAGCGGAGGAGACTCCGGTTGCTCCGGCGAACTAATTTGGTTTCTCTGCGTCAATGAAGAAGACATTGTTTTTTGTTCTTCCTTTCTTTCTTTGCCTAGAGAAATGGACGATAATGATCCTATTTTACACTACAAAACTAGATAGAACGTGTTGAAAATTTGTTGTTGACGTGCTCAATGTTTTGAGAAGTCAAGAGGCGACGGTGATCTTCGACTCTCGCATGTGTCTAAGTCTCCGCCTCCCTTGGACTTTCGGACGTCTAACATTATTTTTACTCGAGTGAAATTTTTTTAATGTGGAAATGCTTTTTTAAATACCACTATTTGCTGTCAGTTTTCAAAAATATTATTATTGTATACATTTTTCATAAAGTAATTATCAAAGTAAAATAAAAATATCGTGTTTTAAAATTAGTTTCTAAAGTTTTATAAAACACTAGGTAAAAGATCTGCATATATGCGGGTTTCTGATAGATTATTTTATACCCCGTG